GGGGCGCCCCTTCCCTGTCTGGTTTTGGTTGTTTTCGGTTGTCCGTGGGTTGTTCTGGTTGTTCCTGGCTCCTGGGCTGGCTCTCGGTCGCTCGGCCCCTGGGGGTGCCCCTTCCTTGTCTGGTGTTTGTTGTTTTCGGTTGCCTGTCGGTTGTTTCGGTCGCTCCTGGCCCCTGGGCTGGCTCTCGGTCGCTCGGCCCTTGGGGTGTCCCTTCCGTGTTTGGTTTTTGTTGGTTTCGGTTGACCGTCGGTTGTTCTGGTCGTCCCTGGCTCCTGGGCTGGCTCTCGGTCGCTCGGCCCCTGGGGCGCCCCTTCCCTGTCTGGTTTTGGCTGTTTTCGGTTCTCCGTCGGTTGTTCTGGTCGCTGCTGGCCCCTGGGCTGGCTCTCGGTCGTTCGGCCCCTTGGGGTGCCCCTTCCCTGTCTGTTTTTCGTTGTTTTCGGTTGTCTGTCGGTTGTTTCGGTCGCCCGTGGCCCCTGGGCTGGCTCTCGGTCGCTCGGCCCCTGGGGGTGCCCCTTCCCTGTCTGGTGTTGGTTGTTTTCGATTGTCTGTCGGTTGTTCTGGTCGGCCCTGGCTCCTGGGCTGACTCTCGGTCGCTCGGCCCCTGGGGGTGTCCTTTCCTTGTTTTGTTTTGGTTGTTTTCAATTGTCTGTCAGTTGTTTCGGTCGCTCCTGGCCCCTGGGCTGGCTCTCGGTCGCTCGGCCCCTGGGGGTGCCCCTTCCCTGTCTGGTTTTGGTTGGTTTCGGTTGTCCGCGGGTTGTTCTGGTCGTCCCTGGCTCCTGGGCTGGCTCTCGGCCGCTCGGCCCCTGGGGCGCCCCTTCCTTGTCTGGTGTTGGTTGTTTTCGGTTGTCTGTCGGTTGTTCTGGTCGCTCCTGGCCCCTGGGTTGGCTCTCGGTCGCTCGGCCCCTTGGTTGCCCCTTCCTTGTGTGGTTTTGGTTGTTTTCGGTTCTGTCGGTCGTTTCGGTCGCTCCTGGCCCCTGGGCTGGCGCTCGGTCGCTCGGCCCTTGGGGGGCCCCTTCCCTGTTTGGTTTTGGTTGTTTTCGGTTGTCTGTCGGTTGTTCTGGTCGTCCCTCGCTCCTGGGCGGATTCGGTCGCTCGGCCCTGGGGCGGCCCTTCCCTATCTGGTTTTGGTTTGTTTTACGGTTGTCTGTCGGTGGTTTCGGTCGCTCCTGGCCCCTGGGCTGGCTCTCGGTCGCTCGGCCCTTGGGGGGCCCCTTCCCTGTTTGGTTTTGGTTGTTTTCGGTTGTCTGTCGGTTGTTCTGGTCGGCCCTGGCTCCTGGGTTGGCTCTCGGTCGCTCGGCCCCTGGGGTGCCCCTTCCCTGTCTGGTTTTCGTTGTTTTCGGTTGTCCGTCGGTTGATCTGGTCGCTCCTGGCCGTTGGGCTGGCTCTCGGTCGCTCGGCCCTTGGGGGTGCCCCTTCCTTGTTTGGTTTTGGTTGTTTTCGGTTGTCTGTCGGTTGTTTCGGTCGCCCGTGGCCCCTGGGCTGGCTCTCGGTCGGTCGGCCCCTGGGGTGCCCCTTCCCTGTCTGGTTTTGGTTGTTTTCGGTTGTCTGTCGGTTGTTCCGGTCGCTCGTGGCCCCTGGGCTGGCTCTCTGTCGCTCGGCCCCTGGGGGTGCCCCTTCCTTGTCTGGTTTTGGTTGTTTTCGGTTGTCTGTTGGTTGTTCTGGTCGCTCCTGGCCCCTGGGCTGGCTCCCGGTCGCTCGGCCCCTGGGTCGCCCCTTCCTTGTTTGTTGTGGTGTATGGTTGTCGTCGCTCGGCCCCGTGGGTTGTTCTGTTGTCGTCCCTCGCTCCTGGGCTGGCTCTCGGTCGCTCGGCCCCTGGGGCGCCCCTTCCATGTCTGGTTTGGTTTTTCGGTTCTCCGTCGGTTGTTCTGGTCGCTCCTGGGCCCCTGGGTGGCTCTCGGTCGCTCGGCCCCTGGGGTGCCCCTTCCTTGTTGGTTTTGGTTGTTTTCGGTTGCCTGTCGGTTGTTTCGGTCGCCCGTGGCCCCTGGGCTGGCTCTCGGTCGCTCGGCCCCTGGGGTGCCCCTTCTCTGTCTGGTTTTGGCTGTTTTCGGTTGTCTGTCGGTTCTTCTGGTCGTCCTTGGCTCCTGGGCTGGCTCTCTGTCGCTCGGCCCCTGTGGCGCCCTTTCCTTGTGTGGTTTTGGTTGTTTTCGGTTGTCCGTCGGTTGTTCTGGTCGCTCCTGTCCCCTGGGTTGTCTCTCGGTCCCTCGGCCCCTGGGGGTGCCCCTTCCTCGTTTGGTTTTGGTTGTTTTCGGTTGTCTGTCGGTTGTTTCGGTCGCTCCTGGCCCCTGGGCTGGCTCTCGGTCGCTCGGCCCCTGGGGGTGCGCCTTCCTTGTCTGGTTTTGGTTGTTTTCGGTTGTCTGTCGATTGTTCTGGTCGCCCGTGGCTCCTGGGCTGGCTCTCGGTCGTTCGGCCCCTCGGGTGTCCCTTCCCTGTCTGGTTTTGGTTGTTTTCGGTTGTCTGTCGGTTGTTCTGGTCGCTCCTGGCCCCTGGGGGGGGCCCAGGGGCCGAGCGACCGAGAGCCAGCTCAGGGGCCACGGGCGACCGAGACAACCGACAGACGACCGAAAACAACCAAAACCAAACAAGGAAGGGGCACCCCCAGGGGCCGAGCGACCGAGAGCCAGCCCAAGGGCCAGGAGCGACCAAACAACCGACGGACAACCGAAAACAACCAAAACCAGACAGGGAAGGGGCGCCCCAGGGGCCGAGCGACCGAGAGCCAACCCAGGAGCCAGGGCCGACCAGAACAACCGACAAACAACCGAAAACAACCAAAACCAGGCAGGGAAGGGGCACCCCAAGGGGCCGAGCGACCGAGAGCCAACCCAGGGGCCAGGAGCGACCAGAACAACCGACGGATAACCGAAAACAACCAAAACCAAACAAGGAAGGGGCACCCCCAAGGGCCGAGCGACCGAGAGCCACCGAGGAACGACCGAAACAACCGACAGACAACCGAAAACAACCAACACCAGACAAGGAAGGGGCACCCCCAAGGGCCGAGCGGCCGAGAGCCAGCCCAGGACTCAGGGACGACCAGAACAACCGACGGACAACCGAAAACAACCACAACCAAACAAGGAAGGGGCGCCCCCCGGGGCCGAGCGACCGAGAGCCAGCCCAGGGGCCAGGTACGACCAGAACAACCGACAGACAACCGAAAACAACCAACACCAGACATGGAAGGGGCGCCCCAGGGGCCGAGCGACCGAGAGCCAGCCCAGGAGCGAGGGACAACCAGAACAACCCACGGACACCCGAAAACAACCAAAACCAGACAGGGAAGGGGCACCCCAGGGGCCGAGCGACCGAGAGCAAGCCCAGGGGCCAGCAGCGACCGAAACAACTGACAAACGCCCGAACAACAACCAAAATCAGACAAGGAAGGGGAACCCCAAGGGGCCGAACGACCGAGAGCCAGCCCAGGGCCCAGGAGCGACCAGAACAACCGACAGACAACCGAAAACAACCAAAACCAGGCCGAAGGGAAAATGAAAAAAACGAACAACCAACAACCAACAACACTCATTTTTAAAACAGCATAAACACCAACGAAAACCAACCAAAGACAATCAACAACAACAACGAAACACAACCAAAACAACCAAAGAAGTATATTAGATTTGCGCCCGCCCCAAAAAATCTAAAAATATCAATTCTTGAAGTAGGAAGGCGCTTAAAGTAGATTGGGATCGGGAAATCCAAAAATACCGACTTTCAACGACCGACGTGTACAGCGCTTCGTGGCCCCATAAGGAGCTCCACCGAAGGTCCCAGTGGCACCGCCCGCATGCGTCCGCCACCACCCAGCACAGCCCTTGCTCCCTGCGTTTCACCAACCCAGTACAGCGTTTCGTGGCCCCATAGGGAGCTCCACGGAAGGTCCCAGTGGCACCGCCCGCATGCGTCCGCCACCACCCAACACGGCCAGTGATCCCTACGTTTCACCCACCCAGTACAACGCTTCGTGGCCTCACAGGGGGCTCCACCGAAGGTCCCAATGGCACCGCTCGCATGCGTCCGCCACTACCCAGCACAGCCCTTGTCCCCTGCGTTTCACCGACCCAGTACAGCGCTTCGTGGCCCCATAGGGAGCTCCACCGGAGGTCCAAGTGGCACCGCCCGCATGCGTCCGCCACCACCCAGCACAGCCCTTGCTCCCTGCGTTTCACCCACCCAGTACTACATTTCGTGGCCCCATAGGGGGCTCCACCGAAGGTCCCAGTGGCACCGACCGCATGCGTCCGCCACCACCCAGTACAGCCATTGCCCCCTTCGTTTCACCCACCCAGTACTACATTTCGTGGCCCCACATGGGGGCTCCACCGAAGGTCCCAGTGGCACCGCCCGCATGCGTCTGCCACCACCAAGCACAGCCCTTGCTCCCTGCGTTTCACCCACCCAGTACAGCGTTTCGTGGCCCCATAAGGGGGCTCCGCCGAAGGTCCCAGTGCCCTTTTCTCCACCCCACATTTCGGTCCCCCCCAACACATAATATGAATAATAATTTTAAGAAGACCGAGCGTACTAATAAACATACGAAGCATATAGTTAAACTCATCTTAATACTGCTAATAATATGAAGAATAATGAAAATACGAATAATAATAATAATACTCATAATATCATTAATAATAATACTAATACCAATAATCATAATAATAATAATAATAATAATAATAATAATAATAATACTAACAATAATAATAAGATTAATAATGCTAATACTATACTAATACGAATACTAAGAATACTAATAATAATTATACTAATAATGAGAAGAAGAAGAAGAAGAATCAGAAGAAGAAGAAGAAGAAGAAGAAAAAGAGAAAGAGAGTAGCCCCCTCACGCATCCCCGAGCCGCTCTGGCGCAACGACTCCAGCGACCTGGGCCGAGCCAGGCTGGGGGTAGCCCCTCGGAGGCCCCTCGGCAGCCCCTCGGCCGCCCTGGGCGGCGGCGGCGGCGAGGCTCGCGCTGCCGCGCCGCCGCCGCGCGCCATCGGCGGAGGGCGGCGCATGGCCGTGGCGCCGCTCGCCCCAGAGGAGTTCGGCGAGCTGGCGGCCGCCGTGTGGCTCAGGCACGCCGTGGGCCGCGGGGGCAGGCCGTGCGCGACGCGCTGGAGAGCGAGACCGCCGCGGAGCGAACGGGCCCCGAGGCTCTGGTCGCGATTCTTTGCGGTGTCGGATTTTTTAGGCAACGTCGGGCCATGGGGATGGGGGGTGGCCTAAATGTGGGGTCGTGGGGTTGTGAGGGTGACCTAAATCTGGGGTGACCTAAATGTGGGGTGACCCAGATGTGGGGACCCTGCTGGCTCCGCATCGGAAGCCACTCTCACATCGCACCCTCGGCCTGGACGCCTCCCGGGCTGCCGCCCCTCGGCACGCCGGCGCTCTGCAGAACGAGGACCCGACGCCACAGGATGGCTGTGAGAATCAAAACCGCTCTCCCCGCGTGCCCGCTCGCCCGGGGGTCTGGGACTGGGCGCCCTCCGGCTCCTGCGGCTCCAGCGGCTCCAGCCAGGACTGCTCCGAGGGGGCGCCAGCCACCGTGGGCTCCCCTCGGGGAGCCAAGAAAGGGCTCCCCCTCCTCCCTCCTCGCTCCTCGTGATCAACAACCCCCCCACCTCCTCCTCCCTCCTCCTCCCCCCTCCCCCTCCTCCTCCTCATTCCTCTTCCCCTTCTCCTCACCTCCTCTACTCTCCTCCTCCTCCTCCTCTCCTCCTCCTCTTATCCTCCTCCTTCTCCTCCTCCCTCCTCCTCCTCCTCCTCCTCCTCCTCTCCTCCTCTCCTCCTCCTGGCATTTGGGGGGAAACATCGACCTGGAATGGGCGATACCTCGCCAGCAGATCGGCGATGGGCCTCCGATAGCAAATCCGCACGCTCCCAGGCTGAGTCGGGCTATCGGGCCCCATCTCGGCGATCAGTGGGTGATTGGGGGTCGATGCCCCCCCCTATGCTTATCAGGAGAGCCCAGAATCGAATCGGTAAGTCGGATCGGCGATCGAAATGTATCGGATCTGCGGACATCAGCAGGCGAGTCCAGACCAGTCGAATCGGCGGAAATCGACAGGCTAGCAGGTCTCCATCGAGAATTCGGAGCCCCAAAATTGGAATCCGAAGCCGAATCTCCAAGCGGACTCGGCAACCATCGAAATCGGATCGAACCGAATCGGAGGAATTGGAATGAAGCCTATGCTTACACCCTCTTGCAGGCCTCCGACGTCCTGTTTTCTCATGGCGCCGACCCCCAGAGGTCTCGACCCACTCACTCCCCGGGACCAACTTCTCATCCCGAGTCGTCCTGGGACGGTCCGAGGCCTCGCACGTCCCTGCGGAAGCAACCCGGGAGGTGGCCGCTGCGGGCGTGACCCACATCGAGCGGACAGCCGTGCGCCCTCCACGTACGGGCCGCACATCCGCCCGATACGGACTCAGAGGTGTTGTCATCGGGGAAGCTTCCAACCCAGGGCCGATGCAGCCGGCGCCAGGCGACCAGCGCAGCCTCGGTGGCGGACGCGGCGCGCTACAAGGCGTCCCTGGGGACGTGCCGTCGGGACTCCCCGGTCAGTTCGGGCCCAGTCGGGAGCAGAGGGCGCCAAGGGACGACCCGTACGGGGGGAGCGCTCAACTCGACGTGAGAAACACTTTCATCGACATCGCGAGCGAGCGCCCTGGCCGAAGACAGCTTAGGCGCAACCTCACGGACGGGGACGCGCCACGCGAGCAGGACGCGCAGGAGTCTGTGCCGCCTCTCGCGGCCGGGGATGGCGCCGACCTCCCTTCGAGCGCGAGGGCTATTCGCAACGCTGGGGACGCTGCTCTCATCGAGGACCTCGAGGGGCTCGAGCTCGCCGAAGACACGCGGATGGAGCAAGACATGGGTACTCCGCTGGACGAACTGCGCCGTGCCCGAGCACGTGGCGGCACCGGAAGAGACGGTGCAGGCTCCGCCACCGCGGCAGGCCCAGCAGCGGCAGGCCCTGCAGCTCCCATCCAGGAGGGTTCCGCTCGCAGCCGCTCGCGAGCCCCTGCTGCCGCACACGCAGGCGGAGGAGGAGGCGCAGGAGGAGGAGGAGGAGGAGGAGGAGGAGGAGGAGGAGGAAGAGGAGGAGGAGGAGGAGGAGGAGGAGGAGGAGGAGGAGGAGGAGGAGGAGGAGGAGGGGTCGCCGGCGGCCCAGCAGCCGAAGACGCAGCCCAGGGCGCGCCGGCAGCCGCAGCAGCTCCCGTGCCACCGCCGCCGCAGCCAACTCCCGCCCAGCACTTCTGCCCAGTGCCGGGATGCGTGGCGTCGAGGGGCGGCCGGCGACCTCCATGGCGGCTCTTCCAAGGGTTGAAGGCGCACGTTGACGCCCACCTCCTCGGCCAGCTCCCCGGGCTACCCCCGCAACCGTGGATGGATTCCTACAACATGGTGGCGTGCCGCCTGTGTGGCAGATCGTGCAGCACGCGATGCAACCAAGGCATGCATCGGAACTGCTTGGGCCGGGAGCTGATGGCAGCGCCAGCTGTGCAGCAACCAGGGGTGCAAGAGGACGCCTCAGACGACCTGCCAACTCTAGAAGAGATCATGCTGGCCCCGGTCTCCACGAGGGAGCTCATCGGGGACGGCCTTTTGCCCAGCGTGGAGCGGGAGTTCAACAAATGCGGCGCCAACGTCCTCATGCACTCCCGGGTGGACGCGTGGGACGTTGCAGGCACCAGCGATGACACGCCACAACATGCTCGAGCTCGACAGGCGTGGACCGAGTGGCTTATGTTCCCGAAAACGGTCACGCCAGCGCTCCCAGGAGGGGAAGCGAAAGAGAAGCGGAACCGGAACCTCGTGGCTAACATGGTTGATCGATGGGCCAACGGGGAGCGTCGGGCAGTGTGGGACGAAGTCCTAAAGCTCACGCAGCGCCGGGACAAAAAGCAGAGCGGCCAGCCAGCAAGCGAGGAAGAGCAAAAAGAGCGGAAGCAACAAGAGGTTATGGCCCTCGCCCGCCGGGGGCTGCCTGGCAAAGCTGTGACACACGCTTCGAGCAGAGGACTGGCACCAGACTCGCAGCAGACGGAAGATACCATGCGCTCCAAGTTCCCGGCCGCGCCAGCCTCTCAGCGCGGCTCTCAACGCCCGCCGGCGCCGCCGGCCAACGAACTGACTGATGAAGGAGTGGCGGCAGCAATCCGGAGCTTCAGCAGAGGCGCGGCGCCAGGCCCATCCGGCCGCAGACCCGACTTCTACAAGCAGGTGGTGGGGGAGAAGGGCGACAAACCGGGTTGCGCCATCCTGTCGGGCATTTGCAATTTACTTGCAGACGGACGGGCCCCGAAACAGCTGCGGGCTTACCTCGGAGGCGCCCGGGGCACGGCTTTGCGGAAGACGGCGAAGGACGGCAGCGATGATGCCAGGCCAGTGTGCTCTGGGGAGACCATCCGCAGAGTGGTAGGCAAGGCGCTGCTGGCCACGGAGCTCAACGCGCTCCGGGCTCATCTGCAGCCTCTCCAGCTGGCCGTGGGCGTCCGTGCCGGGGCGGAGGCGATGCCGCACATGGCGCGGCAGTGGCGTGACGAGTACAAGGGGGACGTAGACCGCATCATGTTGAACAGCGACCAGGCCAACGCCCACAACGAGGTGGACAGACACACCTTTCTGACCAGGATGCGCGAAGTGGCCCCTGGACTCGTGCGGTGGCTCGAGTGCATCTACCCCACAGAGACACCCACTCTGGTGTTCTACAGAGGGAGGACCATTCACAGCACGTCGGGGGGGCAGCAAGGATGCCCGCTCATCGGGGCATGCCACGCACTGGTCCAGAGGATGTTGAACGAGTCGCTCGGGTTGGTCCCCGTGCCGGTCGGCACGGCAGTGTACTGGACCCCCCAGTCGCTCTCGACATGGCCCCTGGCTTCGCCGACGACGCACTCATCGCCGGGCCTTCTGTAGAGGTGCTCCGAGCTCTCAAACACCTCAAAGCTGTGATGCCAGGGACAGGCCTTCGCTTCTCCGCCTTGCAGGTGATCCCGGCCGCCGGGACACGGAGCACGGTTGACTTCGCAGAGTTCGTGTCCTTAGGGTGCGACGTCTTTGCAGATGGGAACTGCGAGGTGCTCAAGTCCCCAGTGGGCGACGACGCGCACTGCCGGGCCTTCTGCGCGAAGCAGGTGCAGAAGCAGCAGGGCATCATCCAGTTCCTGGCAGACCTCCAGGACCCGCAGGTGACGCACTACTTGTTGGCACACAGCGTGAACGCGGGCTGGATGAACTATCTGGCGCGCACCACGCCGGCCAGGCATCTGGGCGACGAGGCGCGGCGCTACGACGAGTGCGTGCTCGAGGCGGCAGCTGCTGCTGTGAACCAGCGCTGGTTTGACAGGCAGCGCGAGCAGGCTTCCTTCAAGGCCTCGGCTGGCGGCCTCGGCCTGCGCAAAATCTCTGTCGAGATGGATGCGACCTACGTCGGCTCGCGCGCGCTGACACACGACCTGTGCGCGATGATCCGGCCAGGCCACCAGTGGGACGACGACGTCGCGGGTGCCCCGCTGGCGGACGCGGTGTCCAGGATCACGGCCTCCGCCGGGGCCGAGATCTTCGCAGTCGAGTCACGGGATGCCTTGACCCAGACGCACCTCGGGGACGCGCTCCGGAAGAAAGCGGTGGTCGCGTGGAGAGACGCAGGGCCGCCGGCAGACGGAACGCGGCTGAACGCGTACTCTGCGCAAGGAGCGGGCGCCTTGTACGAGCTCACCCCATCCAAGACACTTGACATGCAACTCACTGCGAGCCAGTTTGCCGACAACGTCGCGCTCCGGCTCGGTGTCGATGTCTTGGATGCGGGGTCCACCTGTCCTTTGTGCGGGGTTGCCTTGGACGCTCAGGGAATCCACTGCCTCTCCTGCATGGGGGGCCCTGAAACCACGGGCACTCACAACGGCATTCGCGACGTCCTCTACGACTACGCGTGCCGAGGCGGACTGCGACCGCAGTCCGAGGTCCCAGGCTTGCTGCAGGAGGGCCCAGAGGCGCCGCCAGACCAGCGCAGGCCAGCCGACGTCCTCGTGATCCCACACTTGGCATTGGCGACGCACCTTCCCGACGGCAGCCGTGCGGTCCGGGCAGAAAAGGTGTGCTTTGACTTCGCGGTCATCAACGCGCTGGGGCCGGGCCATTGGGCGGACACCGCACTGGCCGCCGGGCTCCCGTCCGAGACCTACGACGAGGAGAAACGGAGGCGGGGCCGGACCGAGGAGAGGTGCCGCGCACAGGGCCTGGCCTTCCGGCCCGTTGTCCTCGAGCAGCAGGGCGGCATGAGCAAGGGCGCGGACGCGGCCTTCCGGGCCGTCGCAGCAGCGGCAGCCGGGAAGGAGGGGCGGGAGCAGTCAACCGTGCGCCGGGAGATGCTCCAGCGCGTGGCGATCCTACTCGCCCGGGGCTGCGCTGCGCGGATCGAGCGTCGGCGGGCCAGAGCCCGCGCAGGGCGAGCTGCGTGGGCGGCGGCTGCGGCGGCTGTCGCGCGCGAGCCGGCGCACGAGGACGGTGAGTGAGACGCCGCGCAGCCGCACCCTAGCGGGCTGGCGGCCGCGTGACCTGTGTCGCCCTGTCGCACGGGTGCTCTTCTTGGCCCGCTTTCTCTCTTGCCTTGGCTTCGGCTCTCGGTTCCTCACCCTCTCCTCTTCCTTCCTCCCCGTGCTCCCCCCCCGTGCCCTTGTGCTCTCTCGCCCTTGTGTTGCTTCCTTGCCCTTGTGTGTGCTGTGCTCTCCCTTTCTCTCCCCCTGCTTGGCTCCCCCTCCCCGTCCCCCCGTCCCTCCGTCCGTCGGCCCGGTCTGCCCTTTCCGGTCGCCCCCCCTCCCTCTCCCCCCCTCGCTCCTCGGCTCCTCGCTCTCCGGCCCGTTCCTGTTCCTTTCTTGGCTCGCTTTTCTTTGTCGGCCCGCCCTGTGGTCCGAATAAGAGTTGCGGCGGCCCGCACTGCCACGCTGACGGACCCCCCCCTCCCTCTGGCTTTTGGCCGGGGCGGCGGGGCAGGACAGGCGACGGGTACTTAGTACACGCTGTCGCCACTGAATTCAATGACCGGGTTGTTAGAGCCCCCAGAGACCAAGAGCAGCGGAAAACCGACCGTCGCGCTGTTCTCATGATGCGGGGGGGTCTGGGATCGCTGCCCCTGGCTCCGACTCTCCCTGCAGTCCTATAGGCTCACCACGACGTGTCAGGCCTACCACGACATGTTCTTAGAGCGCGAGGATGTTCGAATACCAACAATCTTCTTAGAACAGCGACTGGTTGAAACAAGATAGCCCTGGCCAGAGAACATTTCGCGCAAGCTACAGAAGGTTCCCAGGACATTCTTTGGTGGGCCTACAAGCAAGCCAAGACTCTTCGCCACTGCTTCCAGACATCTGGCCACTCGGATATTTTCGATGCGTGAGACTGGGAGGTTTGGACCACTTCCCTGGGGCCTGTGGGAAGGAGGGAGGGAGGGAGGGAGGAGGGAGGGAGGAGGGACGGAGGGAGGGAGGGAGGAGGGGAGGAGGAGGAGGGGGGAGGGAGGAGAGAGGAGGGATGAAGGAGGAGGGAGGAGGGAGGGAGGGAGGGAGGGGGGAGGGAGGAGGGAGGAGGAGGAGGAGGAGGAGGAGGAGGAGGAGAAGGAGAGGACGGAGGAGAGGAGGAGGAGGAGGGAGCGGAGGAGGAGGAGCAAGAAGAGGAGGGCTCACGCCATCTTGACTCCCCGGTCTCCCGCGCGGTCGACGGCGGGGGGCGGCTCTGCCGCGGCGGCGGCACCCCCGTGCACGCGCGACGCCTCCGCGCGCAGCAGGCGCTCCCACCGCCGCCTTCGCGAATCCTCTCTCGGAGGCGGGCGTGGGGGGCGAGGCAGCGGCGGCCCACCCCAGCGTTCTTGCGTCTTTCTGGGGGTCCCGTCGCCCTCCCTCCCTCCCTCTCCCTCCCTCCTTCCCTCCCTCCTCTCCCGCTCTCTCTCCCTTCCTCTGTCTCTCTCTCTCTCTCTCCTTCTCTCTCTCTCTCTCTCTCTCTCTCTCTTTTTTTTTCTCTCTCTCTCTCTCTCTTTCTCTCTCTCTCTCTCTACTCATCTCCTCCTCCTCCTCCTCTCCTCCTCCTCCTCCTCCTCCTCCACTTATTTTTTCTCCTCCTCCTCCTCCTCCTCTTCCTCTTCCTCTTTCTCCTCCTCCTCCTCCTCCTTCTCCTCCTCCTCCTCCTCCTTGTCCTCCCTGTCCTCCTCCTTCCCTCTTCCTCCCGTGCGTGCTCGTTATGTTTGGGCCTCCTGGAGGCGTCTCGTCGGCCGTGCGACATGCGATATGCTACCCAGACCCCCCTCGAGCCATGCAGACATCACACGAACGACAATTGTTCGTTGGTTTCGGCCTGTGGGGACCTAACCAGGCCTCGGGGCCGTCAAAAAACTTCGCGGCCAGTATTTGATATTGCTTTTTGACAAACTCTGCGCTTGCACATGGAAGGCGTGCGCCACACACGCCGCCAGGCTCAGTGCACTGCGGGTTTTTCAACGCATGTTCGAGTTTTTATCTGTCTGTGGCACTGTCAGCAGGACAATGTATGGATACAAACGACGTGAGATGTATCTTGCTTTTTTGTCGCACGTGCGTTGGCAATCCCACGAATAAGGACCATGGATGGTGTAACTGGCCCGCAGAATAAACCACGTCGCCACGGCTGGATCCGCCCCGAATGCTGGGTCAGGAGGAGCCCCAGAGCGGGTCTGGAAGCCGATTCTGCACGGATCTGGGCCGGGCGGGAGAGCCGCCCAGGGAGGAGGAAAGGGGAGGAAGAGGAGGAGGAGGAGGAGGAGGAGGAGGAGGAGGAGGACGAGGAGGAGGAGGAGGACCCCCCGCTTTTTACTCGACGAGGGAGCCCAATGCCAGTGGAAAGAGTGCGGTACATAGCTGGCGAGCTGTCGCAAGACCGTCACACTGTCCCATACTAGGGTCCGTCACGCAGGCCTGGGGCGAGCGCCACCCGCGCTGCAACGCGGGAAGCTGGCAGTGGCAAGCCGCGGTCGTTGGGCACTCTTGGAATGCCCGTGTCACATGCTTTCACACAGGTGCAGCGGTGTTGATCGGATCGACCTGTTCGCCCACGAGAATAGCCCGCGAGAAAGAAATAACAACGCGCCCCCGTTAGCCGAAGAGGAACTCAGCCGCCTCTTCCTCAGCTTCATGCCATTGCTCATCTGGCCCGCCGTCACTTGCTCTGCCCGAAGGCAGACCGCCTTTAACAACAGAGGTCGGAAGTTGGGGGGTGACATCGCGTTGGAACGGAGACCCCCAAACGGGAAATCGTTTGGTTTCGCTCGTGTCGTGCGTGCGGGCAAGGCGGAGCTGCGTGGGCGCGCGAGAGGAATGAACCCGCAGCTGCTAGGGCGAAGTCGAAACAAATGATTCTCCCCCGCCCGTCCGGCGGTGGCTCGCGGTGCCCCGCGGTGTCCCGTAGTGTCCCATGGTGTCCTGTGGTGTCCGCCGTTTCTGGGGCGAAATCGAAACAAATGATTCTCCCCCGCTCGTCCAGCGGTGGCTCGCGGTGGCTCGCGGTGTCCCGCGGTGTCCCGTGGTGTCCGCCGCTGCTAGGGCCAAGTCAAGACAAATGATTATCCCCCGCCCGCCCGTCAGGCGGTGTCTCGTGGTGTCCCGCGGTGTCCCGTGGTGTCCCGTTGAGTGAGATCGATCGTGAGATCGATAGCGAAATCGACAATGAGACCGATAGTGAAATCGAGGTGTCCCGCGGTGTCGCGTGGTGTCCCGTTGAATGAGATCGAGAGTGAGATAGACAGTGAGATCGACAAATGTGGAGGATAACGACACAGGTCGGGGAGGCTGCTGTACCGTGCCGTCCACGGTCTCACCTCGCAGGAAAGGGACAGGGCGTCGGTTCAACTCTTCTGCAGGACGTCCAACCAAGACGCGACCTCGTCCTCCAGCCTGCCCGCTGGCATCACTCCTGTGAACCTCAACGCGATCCCCTCCGCCTTGAAGGCGTGGGTGATGGTGCCGCGGAGCGGCCAATGGGGGGTTGCAATCAGCAGCTTGGCCTTGTTCTCGTCGTGGGACTGCTCGTTCTTGATAGCCTGCACGCCCAGCCCCAGCAGCTCGCAATCGACGACGGACTGGCCGCCCGTGGGGGGCTCGATCTTGTCCAGGTACTCGTTGAGCAATTTGTTCATCTGGCCGCCCGCGTCGCAGGCGGACAACGTCTCCACCAACGTGACCGCCAGCGAGGCAGTCGGTCTTCCAACCGCGCGAAGCTGATCAGCTCCTGCCTCGCGTGCGGCCTGCACGTGCTTGCGGTAGTCCTCGAGCGTCACCTGGAGCTTGGCAATGACGGGGTGGTCTTTCGGCATCGTGAACATGTCCACCATCGTCGCCATCGTGAGGCGCTGCCGCTGCGCGGTCGCTAGTGAAAGCTTGGCTACTATGGCGGCCAAGCACTGCTGGACATTCGCATCCTTGCTCGTCCAGTTCTTCTCTGTGTGGCCTCCGCGTCGGCGTCGGCGACCGCCGCGATGGCGTCCCTTGCCACCCTTCCCGTCGCCCTTCGAGGCGAGCATGGCCTCCATCGTGTCGTTCACGCCCTCCATGGCCGCGTCTCCGTCCTTGTCGCCTTTCCGGCCCTTCTTGGGATCGGGCGGCCTGGAGCCGTCGCCAGAGTGCCCAGACGCCTGGGAGGATGCCGCTGGGGCAAGGGGTCCTCTACTTCGCCCTCGGCCTGGGGGGGGGACTGGCCCGTCCGCCGCCGGCCTCGCCGCTGCCGTCATCTTGTGCAGGTGGTACTTGCTGTCCAGGCAGTGCTGGCCGAGGTCGCAGTAGTGGGATGCTCGCGGCTGTTGCCCGCGATGTCGCCGACGTAGCTGGCCACGAAGAAGAGGGTTAGTGAGGTCGAGCTGCTGCCCGTCGTCGAACTGGTGGTCCCTCGCGCGCCCGTCGCCTCTTGAGTCGCTCTTCAGCAGGCCGAACGCATCATGCTCGTAACTCTTCACGAAGACCTGGGGTGTCGTGCGCGTCGCCGAAGCTCGGCGGCGGCTCGACCTGCCTGACGGCCGGCGCCGGCGGTGGCGCGGGCACTGTGCGCTGGCTGAGTATGAGCGACTTTGAGCCTAAACCCTACTGACGTGGGTGGGGTGTGGGTCGCCAGATGGGCCAGCAACTCTGCTGGGTCGTCGTAGTGTTCTTGGCACTCTGGTCTATCCGTCTCATCAGCCAGCTGGCATCGAGTTTCAGAAGACTGTGCCCATTCATACATGTGGCGAGTGAGATTCGGAATGCACTTGCCTGCGCTCCACGCTCCACTGATGTGTCTCCGCGTGTGATCCACGTTGCCGAAAAGCGTCTGACAGCTAAGACATTTATGGTCGAGAGTGATGACTGACAAAATCGGCGGGGTGCTGTGACCTGGGAATTTCGTAACCTGAATATGCTTTTTGACCAGCTCCCTATTGGCGGTGCACGCTTGGCCTCGTCACTTCCAGTGTCCCCCATCTCCTCCTCCTCATCATCCGGTAATGGTTCCCATTCGCGGGCCTGGATCGTCGTCCCCACCACTAGAAAATCACAATATCTTTAAGCCTCGGTGACCTCAGGGTTCCCGAAAAAGTTGGCCATGGTGCGGGGTTGCCGCAGGACCGCGTTCAAGTCCTGGTAAAACTGCTGTAGGGCCCAGGGGTGGACGTGCTGAGACGGGTTAAGTTCCCCCATCGACAAGAGCGTGACATCTGCAACCTCGTCCCCCGCATCATTAGCACGTCGCTCAAACCGGCATTCTCCGAAAAAACGTCCAATGAATGTCTGTGGTGTTCGGGGTTCCCTGCGATAGACTGCCACCATCTCAGACGACGTATCATCAACTCAATGCCGCTAGGGGATCTGCCATTCCTAAAAAAAATGCTTGGTTGTCCAAGACGTGTGCGCGCCGTCCTCGTGCTCAACATGCGCGCGCCTGTGCAACGCACGTAGCTTGCATCTTCTTGGCTAGAGATCTGTCGGTGTCCGTAAGCTCGTTCGGGGAAAGCGCGTGCGCTTCGAGGCCCGACCACACTCGCCCTGCTACGTTTGCTAGAACAGTACTGAGCATGCTTCTCCAGGGCCCCGAAGAGAACCAACAGAGTCGAATCTTGCTCCACCCAATAGAGCCTGCTCTGATGCGTGCACTGATCTCCCTCTTGTTACTGCACTGCACGCGAATAAACCCGCCCAGGTGGAGACGATTAGTCATGGAGCGCCCTGCAATCTGAACCTCAGCCTCCTTAGCGTCCTTAGACGTGGCTGGGTGGACGACGGTTTCCTGTTTGTCGACCTGTTGCGCGTAGCCGAGGAGGAGGAGGAGGAGGAGGAGGAGGAGGAGGAGAAGTAGGAGGAGGAGGAGGAGGAGGAGGAGGAGGAGGAGGAAGAGGAGGAGGAGGAGGAGGAGGAGGGGGAGGGAGGAGGAGGGAGGAGGGAGGAGGGAGGAGGGAGGAGGGAGAAGGGAGAAGGGAGGAGGGAGGAGGGAGGAGGAGGACGAGGAGGAGAAGGAGGAGGAGGGACAGAGGAACAGACCGAGCGCACCCAGGTGCGTTGTTCGGGCGATGCCAAGTGCATTCTAGCCCTGATTATGAGCGGCGCTTGCAGCGGCAGGCGCAGAGGCAGCTGAAATTTCTTCCACGGCCATGCCGCGGGTGGCTGCGCGCAGAAACTTGGTGAGGCCATCGCGCCCAGCGTGGGCGCGCGTGTATTCTCCTTTGTCTATTTTGGCGAGATTCTCTCGCCCTTTCTTGGTGATTCCCGTGCAGGGTGCGGCAAGGTGGCGTGGGTCCTCGGTTGCCGTCTTGCCGCGCCCGCGGCAGAAGTACAGGCGGTACTTCTGCGTGAAATGGAGCTCATGGCTGGCGTGCAGCTCGCGCCCAGAAATGGTGATAGTGCCCTGTACTGGCACTATCTGGTCACTGGCTGACGGCAGAGGCGGCTGGTGGGTGCACGGCGTGGCACAGGCCTGGCGTACTTTACACTTGTCTGTGGTGAGCCCGCAGCGGGAGCACAGGTACTTGCCCGTTCTGAGCTCAAAGGCGTGCTGGCTCGATTGCATGGCTAACTGCAGCTTGGTGAGGCGCGGGCCTTTGGCCTGCGAGGGTCGCTCCGCGACCCACGGATCAACTGCAAGCGTGTCAGCTAGGGCACGGCGCGCCCGCCTGCGGATGAGGGCGCGCTGGGCATCGTGCAGGTCAGTGGGAGGGGCCTGTCCTACAAGCGCTGCCTCGTAAGACTGTTGGGCCGCTACACCTGCCCATGCATCGGCCGTCGCGTTGCCGATAGTGTGAAAGTATCGCACAGGGTCTGAGGCTAGGCCAGGTGACTCCTCGCTGTGTGAGGGCACCCAGATCACAGTGAGCTGACTAGTGCCACGTGCACGAATTGCTTTGGCAATTCGTGCCCACATGTCCTGATTTGCGCCATCGCTGGGGCGCAAGTGTCGATTCGTCCGCCATCCGTCGTACAGCGGCAGGTGGTCTGCAATGAAACAGAGGTCGCCCTTCCAGCGTTCTAGGGCGAGCGCGAAAGCTAGCAGCTCTGCACGGGGCACAGTTTGAAAGGGGCCCTCGAGGCCCGACATTGTTCCTCCCCAGGGGACCCACTCCCCGAAGAGGCACTTCATAGTAGCACAGGCGGTCCCCACTCTTCGGCGACGTGGGTCATCACTGTACTGACCTCCGGAACCGTCTCCGAAGATAGTGAGGGTGCCGTCGCTACTGACGCAGTCCTCCCAATCCCGCCCAACCCAGCTCCACCCGCCGTCCCCCCCCAATGAAGCAAAGAGCGGGTGCGTGTCAGCGCGCGCAGGCAGGCCACGGAGCCAGTAGGCGGGAGCAGCCTCTGCTCCAGCCAGGGCAGAGGGCAACAGGGCGTCTGAATCCGCGTAGTCCTCGTGGTCGCGGTCGCAGGGGCACAGCCAGACCCTATGCATGAGCGTCTCGTCGGCCTCTCCGCATCTCGGACAGGTTGGAGTAGCGTTGTACCCCGTCTCGATGAGTCGGCTTCTGGGCCATTGCGCCCCCGCGACCACGCACAGGTTGAGGGCCGACTGGTCGTGCTGGCCCTTCCTCGTGAACTTCTCCATCTCGTTGGCAACTATGTGGACGTCTGGACCCCCGCCTTGCAATCCTTCTCCATGTGGATGTTTGGCAGCGTCCTTCCAGAGGCTGCTCTCGAGGGACAGGCAGAACTCGTGGACGAACTCCGCGGGGTCCACGTCGTAGCGCTTGTCCTCCCAGTCGGCTTGTCCACTGTGAGGTAGCTGCCACTCCTGGGTATGGGTCTCGCCTGCCCAAGGTGGTCGTGACCACTCCGTTGGCGTCGGGCAGGTCCAGCCAGCGTCCAGGAGGATGGCCTGGATGGCGGAGATGGGGCCCATGACCTTCCTCCACTTCTTGCTGCCGCGCGTGATCGACTTGTTGTAGATCAGCTTCCACGCCTGCGTGACCGGAATGTGGTGTTCTGGGTGCTGCATCCAGAAGTTGAGCCACTCGGCGATCGACTGGCGCCTGAGCTCGATGGCGGGGTCCTTCTTCCTCATGACGACGGCCAGGGCTGTGGAGAGACAGCGGCCAGGGACCTTCCCCGCAGAGGCCTGGATGGCCTGGCGCCTCTGGTCGAGGATGGCCGCTGGGGCGAGGCCCATGATCTGGTGGCCGTAGGTCACCTGCGGCCTGGAGCCCGTGTTCCACAAGCCCTTCGCGATCTTGGCGAGGGAGGCGTGCTTCCTGACCTCGGCGACGATGCGGTGAGTGCGCCTCCTCGCAGTCTTGGCCCTCTTGGTGGCCTTGGCCACGACCCGTCTCTTGGCGCCGCCCACGTCGATGCCGAGGTCGACCGCGCTGTTGGCCACCTTGACGTAGTAGCCCTTCTGCTTGAGGCCGTCGTGCGCTGCGTAGGCGATCGTCTGGTTGGAGGCGACGACGGTGGTCTTGAGCGAGACTCGAAGCCCCGCGCCCGTCATACCGGCGCGAAGGTCGGCGCCGACGCCGATCAGATCCTTGGCGACCTGTTTGGTTTGGCCCTCTGTTCTCGCGACCGTGTCGTCCACGTACGTCCACAGGCCCGCGTAGGTGTGGTTAATTTGGGCCCTCTGCAGGATCGGCCCCAGGTAGACTTTGGCGAGCTTGCCGCCATTGCAGCTGCCCGCGACAATGGACCTCTCGGCATCTATGATGTCGCTGACCCAGCCGTGCATGCGCAAGTACCTGGGCGCCAGGTAGAGCTGCACCTCCAGCGCCACGACGCTCGGGGGGAAGTTCGCCCCGATGGCGGCGTCGAAGAGGAGCGCGTAGCAGACCGAGTCGTAGAACTTCTCTACGTCCATCAGCAAGGTCGAGAAGGCGATGCCAAAGGTCGCCGCCGCCTCGTCGAGCAGCGCCCTGACCAGCGCTGCTCTTAAGGCGCTGGAGCCTTTGATGGCGGTGTCCCAGAACTCCCCGAGCTCCTTGGACCACTCGTCGGTGACGCTGGAGCGGACCTTGGCCCACGTCTTGGGGATGGTGGGGAGCATGCCCAAGATTCTCTCTCCACCTGCGGGCTTGGGGCCCATGGCCCCAGTGGTGGCGCAGAGCTGCTGCGGCCACAGTCCGTTGGCCTCCACATGGTTGTAGATGTCGGCGAGCTCCTGGATCCCTTTCTCGGGGAGCCTATGGATGTCGACGGGGCCGATGTTGTCGACTCCTCTCGCCTTCTTCGGGTTGGCGGTGCCCACGATGGCTTGCATGTGCTGCGGCTCGATGGGCGAGAGAGGGCCCTCTTTCGCAAGTCGCATGGCCTTCTCGTAGGCGCTGATGATCTGCTTGGCGTTGCAGCTGTCGGACGCCCAAATGGAGCGCCAGGTGTCGGCGGAGTGGTTTATGACCGTGGATGGGTCGCCCACCGTCCTCTGGGGCTGATTGTCCTCCAGGCGCGGCGCCTTGGGGTCGGTGACCATGCGGTGCATCTTGCCTGGTGACTCCTTCCACGCCTGCTTCGCCCAGTCGAGGTGCCGTTTACGCGCTCTACCTGCAGCTCTCGCCATGGCCTTGTGGGTCCACTCCATGGTGGTGGCGCTGATGTGGTGCAGGTCGTCCTCGTCGCAGCACTCGAGGGTGGCGAGCTGGGTCTTCCACTCTTCGATCTCCTGCGGGTCGGTTTTTCTACCGAGGTGCTCCTTGGAGAACTCGGGGTTCTCTAGGTCGTCCAACTTCTTCATGACTGTCTTGTGGATGTGCTGGCGGGCTTTGGGGTCCTTGCCGTTCGTGACCAGCGCGGTGTACCTCACGACAAGGGTGCTGAGGTGCTGCCGCCAGGTGGCCTCGGGGTCCTTGAGGTACGCTCTGCCAGGCGACGCCTTCATCGTCTGCTTGGTGGTCCTGTACCCCTCTGCCCTGCCCTGGTACCTGGCCCTGTCCTCGACGGGGACCGCATGCGTCTCCAGGAAGGCGAGCTCCAGGGTCGCGATCCACTGCGCGTACTTCGGGTTGATGTCCTCCGCGAGGTTCGGCTCATGGTGGTGGAAGATGTGTCCCGTGCCCTCCTTGGTGCCGACCTTTGTGCCATCGAGCTTCGGGAAGTTGCTGACCTCGTCGGCGGCGCCATCCCAGTTCTCCTGGGGGATGACGAAGGGGGTGGGGTCCTCCTTGGCCGTCTCGCGGCAGGCGTACAGGGCGTCGAACTCGTCGCGCAAGTGCTCTGGTAGCCTTTCCCTCCTGGTTCGCAACGCCTCCGCGCGAGCCTTGGACCTTTTGCTGTTTGGGTCCGCGACCTTTTTGGGTCTGGCTCGTGCGGGGAGGGCTTTGGGAACCTTTATAGCTTTGTACTCCCGCGGCTCGGCGGTGCCCACCGCGATCTGGATGCCGCAGTGGGTCTTCCAGGGGGCGTCGTAGATGGCCTCGATCCCGATGTGCGTGGCGATGTCCGCTCGTACGATCGCGTAGTCGTACGCGGAGCCCGAGCCCTTGTCGCACGTCGCCATGCAGTTCGGGTCGGTCAGGATGGCGCCGTTCCAGCGCGTGAGCCACGGCTTGTTGCCCCACCAGTGCGGCTCGTAGTTCCAGTCGGCCAGGATGATCCACGGGTCCGTGAGCATGTCCACGAAGGTGGAGATGGAGACCAGGATGTCCCTGTTCGCGCCTTGGTCCCGTAGGCCAGGGCGAAGCTACGCCGCCACGACGACTATGTTGCCGCTCTTGGTGTGGAGGGCCGTCGGCGTGAACCCCGCGAACGGCTGCCTCTTGCGGCGCTTGACATAGTAGTCCCTGCAGCCCTCGAACGCAGTCGCCGCCACGTCCCTGCGCGTGAGGATCCACTCGCCGCCATGGGCCCCCTTGTCCGATTTGTTGGTAGCCACCGCCGGTGTGGCCGAGAGCTTCCAGCCGTCCATGGCGAGCTTGCCGATCTGCTCCGCGAGGCCGTTCGCGTCGACGTGCGCCCCCGCTAGCGCTACGAGGTGGTATTTGCACCCTACGTTGCGACAGAAGTTCGCGGCCTGTGGGCCCCATTCCGTGATGTTGCCGAACAGGATCTGCGCTGCCTGCTCGGGCTTAGGGGCGGGCGCTCCTGCCGTGGGCGGACCACTGGCGCGGATCCCAGGCCCCTTAAGCCGAGCAGGCTGCTTGCGGCTACCCCAGCGACTGTGGGGCTCCTGCCGCTGTCGCTGGCACCGTGGTGGCGCCCTTGCCAATGCCCTTCGCTGCGGCGGCCAGCTCCCTGGCCCTGGCGGTGGTGGCGATGAGCTCGGCGGCGGCCTTGCGGTCCTCCACGGAGGGCTCGTCGGCGGCAGGGGCGGCTGCGGCGGGTCCAAGGGCGCCTCCAGGCAGACGTGGCTCAGCAGGTGGGGCGGCAAAACCTCCTGGCGTGCCAGGTTGTGCCTGTCCTCCAGGTGCGGCGGCTGGCTGCTGTTCAGCTGGTGGTACGGAAGGGTGCCCAGGCTCAGGGGCAGGTTGCTGAGCAGCAGGTGCTTCCCCATTCGGCTTCTTGCGCTTCGCAGGGTTGGTGGTGGACTCCTTGGCTTGGCGTAGGAGCTCTCGAACTTTTTCTTGGCCAGTGTTGAGCTCGGCGAGGCGCTGGTCGAGCTCTTGCTTCCATTGTTCCATCTGGGTGCGGGTGCCATCATCGTAAATGGAGAGGTCGCCCCACATTGAGCTGTCAACCTTGAAGGCTTCCTGAGGCCCCACAGGTGGTGCTCCGCGTACTGCTCCAGCGAGTTTGGCACTGTGGTCAGCTTGTGCCTTGGCGCATGCGTGCTGTGCCTGGACGAGGTCAAGGGCGGCTTGCTCTTGTTTGTCCACGGCGTCGTCGTACCACTGCTTGGCGGTCTCGACGTCGTCGACCGTTTGCTGGAACTTCTTCTCCCTGTCGGTGAGGACTGACGGCGCCGACTGGAGCACCTGCTCGGCTGTGCGGGCAGGCGGAGGCTTGTCGGGCTGTTGGAGGGCGTGTTTGAGGTTGCCGACGAGTTCGGCGTGCTTGGTGTCGCTGAGGAGCGTGCTGAGCGCGGCGAGGATGGCGTCCCTTGTAGGGGCGGCGGCCACTGGCGGCTCCTTCCACGGCGGTGTCTTGCTGGCTCCTGCCCAAGCCCCTGTGGGCTGGCGGTGTTCGGCAGGTGCTGGAGCCAGCTGCTTGCCACAAGAGAAGCACTCGGACTTTCCCTTCCATGTCCATCGGTATCGGCACTGCTTGCAGACTGTGTGTTGGCTTGCGAACCTTGCTGGCGAGCCTCGTCCGCCTTCAGGGCGTGCGCGTCGCGGCCTGGTGCCGCCAGCATTGGCGGCAGCTCCTCCGTCAGCAGGGGCGGTCCCTCCACCACGATCCGCGGCGGCCATCGTCTCTCTGCTTCCCAGGGAGCTCTCGCGAGCAGCGCAAGGGAGGAATATGAAGTGGGCGGCAGCTCGCCCGTGAGTGTGGCTGCGGATACGAAAAGCACTGAAAGCTGTGGGAGCCTACCCCAGATAGGCAGTGAAATGAACACCATTTTGGCCTTGAGCCAAAATTGCTACGGAAGGAGGAGGAGGAGGAGGAGGAGGAGGAGGAGGAGGAGGAGGAGGAGGAGGAGGAGGAGGAGGAGGAGGAGGAGGAGGAGGAACGGGGAGGAGGAGGGAGGAGGAGGAGGAGGAGGGGGGCGGATTTGTCTGAATGGGCCCACCTCCGATCCTCCCAGGGCTGAGCGCCCTTGATCCGCCTGCCTTGCGTGGCCTTCCTGTGCCTCGCCGTCGACACGTGGTCGCCGCGGGGGTCGTACAGCTGCCACCACTCCTGCTCGCTCGTGCCGCAGGGCCTCTCCGCGTCTGGCTGATCACTCCGCCGACCACGCCACCCGACCATGTGATCCGATCGCAGCCTCGATCACGATGCTCTCCATCACTCCCTCCTCCTCCTCCCTCCTCCCTCCCCCCTCTCCCCGCAGCTCTTCTCCTTCCTCCTCCTCCTCCTCCTCCTTCCTCCCTCCTCTCCTCCTCCTCCTCCTCCTCCTCCTCCTCCTCCTCCTCCTCCTCCTCCTCCTCCTCCGTCCATCCTCCTCCTCCTCCTCCTGCTCCTCCTCCTCCCTTCTGCTCCTCCTCCGTCCATCCTCCTCCTCCTCCTTCTCCTTCTCCTCCTCCTCCTCCTCATCATCATCATCCGCCGATGGCTAACACGCCGACCACTGATCTATCACGCATTCTAGCTCGGACGAGCGCGTGATCAAGCCGAACCGATCACGCGATCGGCTATCACAAGATCTCCCGATCGCTGCGATCTGTGATCGCGGATCGCGCGATCAGCAGACACCGAGAGCATGGTCCTGACATCCGCCGATGTGTTTTTCCAATATGCGGCCCCAGATGCGGGGCAGGGATTTATCCATGTCCACCGCCTGGGAACCGACGTCCTGGTGCCCCAGCGGGCGGTGGATATGGATATATTCTGGCCCCCAGGGGCCCCAATCTGTCCATATCCACCGCCTGTGGAAGTCCGCGAAGATCGACCCCCCAAGCCGGTGGCTATGGATGAGTCCCCACCTCGGACCAGAGCTTCCGACCGCTTCCCTGGGGGTGGCACTTCGTCCCAGGCACATTTCCGATGGCCCCATGGGGCGCGATGACGGGCCCCACCAGAGGCCAAGACCTGAGGAACCACGCCGGCTGGAAAAAACAGTGCGTCGGAGATCCGCGATATGTGATCACCGATCGCCTGACCCGCGGACACCGAATAGGCGGCGCGCCAGGGGGGGAAGTGAGAAGGGGCCTTCCCAGAAGGCTCGGAAGTTCCCTGGCCTTCAGAGGTGTGTTCTTAGCCTTCCCCAGAGACACCGACGACCCCCAAGGGCAGGGGGTTTCCGAGAAGCCCCGCCACCGTCTGAGAAGGCCTTCTCCTTCTCACTTCACCCCCTCCCCAAACCCCGACGTCATGTTTTTTTCACAACGTCGACCCCCAGAGGTCTCGTCCCATCCTCCTGGACCGGCTTTTCATCCTGAATCGTTGTTTGATGGTCCCGAGGCCTAGTAAGGACCCCCAGAAGCCGAAGCTAGCGAAAAGCTTTCCGTCGTTCGCCGATCCCCAGAACGACTTCTCCTTCTCACTTCCCCTCATCGCTCGCCGCCGAACCGAGCGCAAGGCCTGCACTCGAACCTGCGGCAAGCCACCGTGATGCCCTCCCGCCACAGGTCCGGGGCCTCCTCGCGGAACCTCGACCAGGCATGCACGCCGTGCTGCGCCCACCTCTGGCGGGTGCCATTGGAGAGTGGCCCACATGGGGGGAGAAGGAAAGGGCCCTAAAGGGACCCCTTTTAGAGCCAGCAGGGGCCCAGAAGAGGCTCTAAAGTACCCCTCCAGGGCCCTTTCCTCCACCCCTCAGTTGGGTCACCCTCCGTTGCCACCCGCCCGACCACCGCTGGTGCCTCCTCGACGCCCTGTGCTCCTCGGAGTGCTCCTCGGCCACCTCGCGGGGCGGAAGCTTTTGGGAGTCGCGGCTCGCGCGCAGAGTCGAGGCGCAGAAGATCGAGACCAGCAAGTGCGCGCGCGCGCGAGCGGCACGCACACAACCACTCATCGTGCTGACTCCTCCGGAACGCCAGACCGCGCACGAAAGGCTTGGCGTCCCTGGCCACGGCGGGCCTGGGCCACGAGCAGGCCCCGGCCACGGCGGGCCTGGGCCGGAGCGGCCCGGAAGCCCGAGCCCCTCCTGGGCCCACAGCGGCCCGAGCGTCAGCGGCTGGACCGTGCACTCTGGGAGCTCCTCATGGATTCCCGGACAGCTCTTTGAGAGCCGAGAGGGTTTCAGGCTGTCCAACCTTGCAGCGTGTCCCTGAAGCTCTCCCGCCAAGTGGGCGGCGCGCGCAAGGGCGTGGGGGGAGGGGGACGGCTTCTTACAGGAGGCTGCTTCGTAGAAGGCGACGGCGCTGCGTCTACAGAGAAGGCCCGCGCCTTCTGAGAAGCAGGGGTGCTTCAAAGGAGCCTTCCGCCCTCCCCCTACCAAGATACTCATCGGGCCGCTCCAGTGTTTTCGATGCGTGGGCCCCGGAGGTCTGGGCCACTTCCCTGGGTAGGCGGCGAGCGAGGGGGGAAATGAGGAGAAGGCCTTCTCAGAAAACGGCGGGGCTTCTCAGACGCCCTCGCGCCTTCTGAGAAGTTTTTCCCTACCTAGGCTCTGCCTAGAAGGGTTCTTACTTTATAGCTTGAAGGGGCCGGGCAGAGTAACCCGCCCCGGGCGGTTCCCCCGGCATCCGCCCCGCGGTTCCCACAGTTACGACCCCTTAGCTTAGCGTTGCTTATCTCATCTTAGCTTAGCTGATTTCATCTTAGCTTAGCTTAGCTTCATCTTAGCTCAGATGTATATTAGCTTAGCTTACCTTCATCTTAGCTTCGCTGAGCTTTAGCATAGCAGAGCACAACATAGCATAGCATAGCATAGCGCAGCACAGCATACCATAGCATATCATAGCATAGCCCAGCATAGCATAGCATAGCGCAGCATAGCATAGCATAGCATAGCATAGCATAGCATAGCGCAGCATAGCGCAGCACGGCACAGCACAGCACAGCACAGCAGAGCGCAACATAGCATAGCATAGCATAGCATAGCAGCAAAGCAAAGGCAAAGCAACAGCAGCGACAGCAAAGCAAAGCACAAGCAACGCAAAGCAAATCAAATCTTAGTTTAGATTAGCTTAGCATAGCGCAGCGCTGCATTAGCATAGCATAGCATAACACAGCCAATCATAACATAGCATAACATGACATAGCGCAGCATATCATAGCATATCATATCATACCATAGCATACCATATCATGTCATAACGCAGCTTGGCACAGCATAGCATAACATATCATAGCATAGCTTAGCATAGCACAACGCAGCATGAAGCAGCATAGCTTAGCATAGCATAGCTTAGCATAGCTTAGCATAGCGCAGCATAGCATAGCATAGCACAGCATAACATAGCGCAGCATAGCATGGCATGGCATGGCATAGCATACCATAGCATTAGGGGCTCCAACTTCTAGGTAGGGTCGCACTGGGGTAATCCGTGTCTTCGGGGAAGGCTCGAAAAACTTCTCAGAAGGCCGGGGGACTTCCGAGCCTTCTGAGAAGGCACGCCCCTTCTCACTTACCCCCCGTGCTCGCCCCGTGCTCGCCGCCGGACTTCCCTGGGGCTGGCGTTTCCTCTTGAATTGCTATTTGACGGCCCCGAAGCCCGGCGAGGGCCCCCGGAGGCCGAAAACGGCCCCAAACCCGCCGTTCCGACTTTTTTTTCTTGGCGCCGGATCTCTACCCCCCCCTCATCGCGTGGCCGCTCATGGATCTGCGCGCAGCTGCACTGCAGCCCCCCCTGGCGGCGCCTCTGGCACCGCCTCCGGAGCGCGGAGCCCTGGCGCCTCTCCTCCGCCTCTGGCGCGCTCCGCGCGCCAGGGAGGGGGCTTCAGCGCAGCTCCAAGAAAACCCGCGCGGACCGCCGACAGTCCACGTCCCCCCCTTCCCGTCGGAAGACCTCCCCCTTTCCCAATCGAAAACGCCCGTCCGAAGACCCCACCCCTACCGTCCGAAGGCCTCCCTTTCCAGGTTGACCCCCCTTCCCGTCCGAAGACATCCCGTATCTTCCCGTCCGAAGACCCTCCTTGTGCTGCCTTTCGTGGTCAAATCGGCCCCCTGACCATTCGGGGGTCCAGACGCGCCAGTTTTCCGAGTCGCGCCCAGCCGCGGCAACGGGGGGCGAGGGCCGGCTACTGCTGTCTCAGCTCGCCCTCCTCCGATCGCCAGGGGAACTCAGCGCTGCCTTCCTCCTGAAGACGAAACCAGGGCATGGATACACGGAGCATTCCAGAACGAGGACGTCCTTGCCCCGTGCATTGTTCGGTTTCGTGCGTGCATGCTTCACGAGATGAGCCAAGATGCTCGCCCATGCTCCTCGCCGCGAAAAAAAAACGCACACGTCCGAGCGATGCCAAGCGCCGATCGTGGCCACGGTAAGACGAAGCCAACACGAGGATAACATCGGGTGAAGATGAATCGAGAATCTCTGAGATCCAGCGGCTCTAGAGTCAGGGGGCGTAAGACCCGGGTACAGGGGACTCGGAACTCCCCGACGAGGTCGTCAAAAAATGACGAGGCCGAGCCTGCATTTTGACGAGGCCTCCCGCTGCAGACATCCCACGAAACTCCTACTCGTCAAAATCCGAGTCGCGTCAAAAAACGATGGCGAACCCGAGTCCTGGCAAACCCGGGCCTTACGCTCCCCCGATGGAGTTGAGCGTGTCTTTGGGGGGCAGACTCTGTTTCTCTGTTCAGGCCCCAAACTCTGATGAAGGGCTGATTCATGTCTGCGCTGGAACTCCGATTCAAGTCTGGCCCTCAGCGCCAACTCTGATGTAGGTCTGACTGGAACTCCGATTTAACTCTGGCCCTAAGACCCAGGTCTGATGTAGGTCTGACCGGAACTCTGATTTAACTCTGGCCCTAAGACCCACGTCTGAATTAGGTCTGACTGGGAACTCACATTTCAATGCGATTATGGTTCGGGTTCGGCGCGCCGAAACCAATGTCGCGGCGTCGGCCCAGAACGCTGCCGGGTCGGCCCCGTGCGCATGCGTCTTCAAGAACAACAAATGGAATTCGCTAGCCAAGCGGCAGGCCATGGCTGGGGGCCCAGCCGCCAGCTGCCAAATACTGCGAGCAAGCAGCTTGGCCCGCCCGCGCACGCCGCCCTACGGCAACGCGTGAACTAAGGCCTGCGCGGGAGGCCCGGGGCAGCGCCCCCCGCCTGCGCGGCCCTGCCCAACAATTGCTCAACTGCAGCTGGGGCGAAAAAAAGCCCACCCGAGGCTCGCCCTGCAGGGCTGCCGGCTGGAGGAGATGCGCCGCACTTTTCGGAAGTCTCGGGGGCGCGGAAGTGCCCTGGGCGGTTTCTGAAAGGCTTCGGGAAATGAGCAGGGCCCGGGAGGGGCTCGGAGGGTTTTCGAATGCGGGGGTGGCCCAGGAAGGCGCTCAGCGAGGTTGGGGGAAAGGGGGGGGGCTGGGAAGGTTTGCTCAGAGGTCAGGAGCAATGTCGAAAGCCTAGCAGGGCTTTGAAGGTGCATGGGGGGTTTGGCTTGGGAGCTTTTCGGAGGTTGCCGGAGGGTGCCGGAGCGTTGGGGCTGCGTCCGAACGCTCGGAAATTGGTTCCGCGGGAAGCGGCGGGCTTTGGAAGAGCACGGAAGGTGTCGTGGCATTTTGGGCCACAGCGGGGGCTCCTCCGGGTGCATTCGGGGGCGATTTTCCCGAGCAGCATTGGCAGGGGGGCGAAAATGTATCAAAATCGGCTCGCGTTGTAAGCGGGCTGGTTTTGCCCGGCAGTTGCTGGGCACTTTCGCTTGCTCAGACACGTTTCCCCCCCTCCGTTTTTGCGTCGACGGCGGGGGGGTCGCGCGCGATCGGATTAGCGGTGGTCCTTGCTTCGCGGTGTAGAGTGGCTTGGGACCGAGTCGCCGGTTTGCCCAGCGCAGGCTCGGAGACGCGGGGAGGGGCGGGGAGGTTCTTCATCGACGTCGGAAGCGGCGCGATGCCCTGGGAGATGTCCAAAACTCCGGCGGGGTGCGACGGGGCCGGGCGGGATTTCAGCGGGGTAGGGGCCGCGGCTTGGGGGTTGCCCCCATGCCAGCGCAGGCGCCGCCAGGGGAATGCTGCGGAGGGGCCTTCGGCGGGCCTTCAAGGAAAACTTCGGCGATCCTTTGGGCCGCGCTGGGATTGTTTTGAGCCGTCTGGCGTCGTGGTGCTGTCGGGCCACCCGGCGCGTTGGAAGGCTGCTTGGGTGGGTGCATCTGTGCGGCGGTTTTGGAAGCGCCTCGGCGCCCCCCGGGGCCCGTGGGCGGCTTTCCTGGGCCATCTGGGGGGCCCGCTGGGCGGTCAAAAGCCAAGCCCTCGCTGGCCGCCCTGGGGCGATGGAGCGGGCGAGGGCGCGAAAACCGCCGAATAACATAGGGGGCGCTCATGGCGTTGCTCATCGGGATTCATTGGCAAATTCTATTTTTCTGACGGGGTCGGGTGGGGTAGTTTTGAAGCGGCCCTGGGGCTGCCCAGGGCCCCTGCGCGCGCGTTTGAAGTGGAACTTCGGGCCCTCGCGGGGGGGGGGGCGCGGCCGTTTCGGAGGCCATCTAGGGCAATCTGGGCGTTTGAACGCGAGGTGCGCGCGCGTCTGCGGTTCGGTCGGCTGGCTGGAAGGCCGCCCAGGCTCCGTTGGAAGCGCCACGCGGGCGGAATATCCGCGTGTCCTGGGCGCTCCTCGAGAGGGTCCACAGCGCGATGTCGCGTGAACTCTTGGGCCAGCTCTGGAGCCTTCTGGACGGGGGGGATTCCCACCGACCCCTCCTCCTCCCCCCCCCCTCCCCCTCCCCCTCCCTCCTCCTCCTCCTCCTCCTCCGCCCTCCCCCTCCTCCTCCTCCTCCTCTCCTCCTCCTCCCTCCTCTCCTC